CGCGATGTTCGTGATAACGTCAAGAATAACGGACGGCTGAGGAGAAAGAAAGACGAGAAATTCCGACGACAAGAAGGAAAAGTGGAGGATTCTCGCGGCGAATACTCACGGCAGTGCGCCGGACGACGACTGTCAGTCCGTCAGCGAGGTAGCGAGCCGCGAATACCGAGGATGGCTTCCCTGCTCGCTCGACGAACAGCTCTATCCGTCGAGCTCGTGTACACAAAAAGCAGAGAGGCTGAGCCGTCGCGCGCACAACGAACGAAAAGCATGAACGACGATGGGGGCCGGGAGCCGACAGAAAAACGCTCGAATATCGCTCGATGGTACGAAGGAGTTGGCGTGAAGATTTTGGAAACGCGAGTCAAAAAAGATCTGTTGCGATTGGAATCGCGATTCCGATGGAAAAAAAAATAGCCAGCGGCGACCTCGGCGACCAGGTATTGTGGATATATCTCGAATCGCGAAAGCCTGGTTCGTTACGAGGAATAATAATTCTCACCAGAGGCGAAACGAATCGGTTGACGTAAATAGGCCGTAGAGGTGTGTCGCGCGCGAGATTAATTTACTCGATGATCTTGTGTGCTCGATGATTTTCTAATTCTCCACGGTGGGATTCGAGCGTGAAGGCCGGCCGCACGAAGGTCGATGGCATTGCGCAGCGGGAATTACTCGGTGCGATGAATTTCCTTCGTCGGCGACTGTTTCGGCATCGAGGACACGTACTTATGTATACGTGGAAGCCGTTCCAGTTTGCCAGTGAGTTTTACGAATCACCGTGAGCGATTACAGTGAGCTCTCCGCGACGAGGGGAGATACCGCGGCCGGCCCGCCGGGGATGATTTAGTGACCCAACGATGTGAAGGATAATCGTATGAAATATCGCCGCGTCGCGTCGTAAGCCGAACCCCGCGCGATTGCGCGGCATAGTGAAGGTAACATCACGGGTGAATGCCGCGAACCGGGGCGGACGCGGGGGCATCGTTGACCCCGGGGAATGTGCGAGAGCTCCGCGCTCGGTAAAGCTTAATGCACGGGAATTTCATACAATATTAAGGAATATTTTTTTCTCTTACGGAAGGAAACGCTATTCGAGTACGATGCCATTAGCTCCGTGAATCGCTTGCATTAATCAAGGCGTCGCGCAAGTCCGATCGCGCGCGCAGAACACAGAGAGTGTTCCTGCCAAGCGCGGCGCCGGAAAACACTGACACGCGCAGAATGCCGAAAGATCGTCTGACTAATAGACCGCCGGAGGTCCATTACGGTCCAACAGGCTCGCTTCTAGCGTGCATAGAGGCGTAGCGGGTTCAATAACGACCGCGGCGGCCTGTGAATCGTTTCGAAACGATTAAGCGCAATCTTACCTTCTTGATATTATGCCTTTGACTGACGCGGTTTTGGATTCCTCGATGGATTGATCGATATAATGTATTTGCGAACGCGATATATTGATTGAAAATGCATTTAAACTTTAGTGCAATCTTAGCTAGGAAAAAGCGTACGTACTGAACGCGGCTCTCACAATAGCGCGGTGGTAATTTATCGTCCTCTGTTAACAAATTGTTCTGCGAGTCCGCGAAATTACGTGGCGGGCAAACGAACGGGACCGATTAGATATCGAGATCGCGGTCGGTAAGAGAAAATACCGAAATGAATTGTGCTTAGGCACACAATACGATCGCGGACGTCGGCGAACCGGTCAGGCAATTACTTGGAAGATCGATTATCACCCGTTAATAGACTCTTCGCGGGCATCGGCGCGATGCCTCGCGACGGGAACTTCATAACTTCCTATAATAATTGCCACGCGCACGCGAAACGCTCATGGTGCCCGGCGCACCCAGAGAACTCGCATCTACATATATACATATATTTCGAAACGTGAAACGGCAAGTTATACCCTTCCCCAAAGATTCTAGCGATAAAAAGTTTAGCTAAAAAATATCTTGTATTTTTTAAGTCAATTTTATATTTGTGACACAGCTATATAATTATCGACAGAATGGCGTTATCTTTAAAGCGGATCTGGAAATTGATTATTTCGTAGAATAGAATTTTCTAGGAGATCCGATCCTGAATGAAAAAGCAGGTGTCCTCATCAGACAAAAAATATATTACCCGCATGTCTCGTGACTCACGGACAGCCTCGCGTCTTGCGTGTCGCCAATATACGATCTATATCTCTCTAATGAGTGTCAAGAAGAAAGCTTGAAAAATTTCTTCTCTGCGTCGTTCGGCGCGAACGACTTTACGTTACTCCGAGGTCGTTTCTTCATCGGACGCGTCCTGGTGGCGGCAATTCGTTCAACGGGCTGAACATTTATCTCCTGCATATTTCTTCTGGCATTGCGGAGCGCGCGACATAAAGAATCGGCGACGCACGCACTACTCCTCCGCACTTTGCTCCATCGACAAATACGAAATTGCTCTGCGAAACATTTTAAAGTATCATCTGTGTAGGCATTCGATAAAGTTCAATACTTTTGGCGATTCTTTCTCTAGTGGCCCCTACCTACTCGAGAAATTTACAGATCGTCCCTCCTGATCGAACTCGGTTTTCGCAGGAGCGTTGCATCATCATTGCGCCGCTCGAAAGCCCGCATACCAGATGCATCGCGCCGAGTCATCTGCGATTTACAGTGATAACTTTTGCAGGCGGACAATTTATACTTGTTGCGCCACGGCGACGGCGACCATTTCAGACGTTGGTGACTGCGGGCGATCGGTACCACGTATTGGTCCCGACGATCGGATAGGACCCTGGAAGCGACAGTGATGCGGCTGTCGAAAATGCTAACGATGAAATCAAGTATACGAAAGAAGTTTGACGTAAATAAAAATATCGTTAAAAAAGCACGATTTCTAACGCGTTCTAAGAAGAGAGTTATCCTCTGAAGGCGAGATTTATCGTCCGAATCTGTTATAGCGTAATGTATCCTTCGACGGATAAAAATTGAGACGAAGTACCGGCTTGATTACGATCATCGGTATGCTCCTGAGAGCCAATGCCGACACCTGCTACTATGCAGCTGTAACAATTAAGTAAATAAATTCGCTACTTTGATCTGGACGCGGCTTAAGAAGCCGATGGGGGAGAGGAGGGTGAGAGAGGGAAAAAGCAAAGAACCATGGAGGAGAGTACCGCAGCAGAGGGAAGGTTCGCGCGCCATCCTTAAAGGCAGAGGCGCGAGCATGCTGAGAGCCTTCCGAGGCACCGTATTTTATAACCGGTGTAGACAGCCACCGCTCGTACATATATGCAAGCGATTCTCTTCTTAGTCTTCCCTTCTCTCCCCCCCCCTCTTTCTCTCTTTCTCTCTTTCTCTCTTTCTCTCTATGGTAGTGCGTACAACGTAGCGAGAATGAGACCCGCGTCTGCTTCTTCTCGTGGTTTCTTGACAAACGTACGCGGGACCCCACTGGCAACGATACCTCCGACCACCACGGCGACGGGGATGATTTCCAATCGTCTTTTACCTCCTTTCTCTTTCTCTGTTCCTTCGGGGACGATGAATGGTGAGAGGAAGGAACGCAGAGAGAGAGAGAGAGAGAGAGAGAGAGAGAGAGAGAGAGAGAGAGAGGGTTTTGACGGGTAAGACACGCGGGGTGAAGGGCGAATGGGGTCCTACCACTGTTGCGTTGTATGCGCACTTTAATACGATTATCTGATCGCGGACGGACATTCAGATTATTTATATTACACGCTTGTACTTGCGGCCGCCGGAAGATTTAAAGCCACTTTAAGCGATTGTAAAATGCGTTACATACGGCGTACGGAAAGGCGCGATTCCCCTTAGCTTTGTTGAATATTGGAAGCGATGTTGCGTATTGTAAGTGATACGATACATAGTGAGTTAAATCTTGATTTATAACTGGTCTTGCTAACGCTGACTATCTTTAACTCACCGTGCGAAACGTTGTCCGTTTGATTGCTAGATCGCAGAAAATTAGGGTGAGGAAATCGATTAAATTTTTAAACGTGAGAGAATTTGTTTTACGGTGTAACGTCTGTTACGTAACGCATCTAAGCGTGACGTCAAAGCATTATTTCGATTACCTGCTTGGGGATCTAGGAGGGTTTCCTCTCAAAGCGAACAAAGCGTTTACGATCTCTCGTGGCTTCGACGCCGGTCTGTCTTAAGGAGGGTCCACATTATCGAGCAAAACCGCGAGCTGAACTTCGCCGCGAACCGATCATGCGTCCACATTATCGAGCCGAACCGCGAGCCGAACTTCGTTGCGAGCCGATCATGCGTCCACATTGTCGAGCCGACGGACTCGCGCGAGGCTCGCGAACCTCGAATCGAACATCAGTGCGAACCATCGCGTGCTCACCCCACGAATCTGCAAGGATTTTGATGATACGCGGTTTGGCTCGCAGTGTCCCACCAAAAGTCGGTATTCTGACGAAACATCAAAAGATGCTTTTTATGATCAGATTATACGCTTTCTCGGGTGGTAGACTGGTAGTTAAGCTTCGAGCTAGACAAATAATGACAAAAAACAAAAAATGAACGATGAAAGAAAACGTGAGTAATTGCCCAGTCGCTGTATTTGATTCTATCCACATATGTGCAGTCTACACGACTACTGGTAGACAAAATGGAATGGTCTGATAAAAAATGTTTAAAATTAATTAGTGATTATGAGCAGAAAAGATTATTATATACGGGACGCTAAAAATCCCGAACATTATAACAATTAAAAAAATGCATATTTATATTTACAATCGTATTTTTAACGTTGCAATATATATTATAAATTTATTGCGTATTTATCATAGATTTAGAGTATGTTTGTGCAATATTAAATATAGTTGGTACCACTCTAAATATAGTTTTATGGTTTGAAAAGGAATTAAGCTTTGAATACAAGAAAATAATAAAAGCACGCATATGTATACACATATTTAGTCGTCTTTTCCTGTTCTCATACTTTTTTTATAAGAAGAAATAAGTAAAGAACTCGAATGTGATAGTGACATGTGCAAAAAAAAGATGACGACATTATTGGCATCTCTGCAAAGAGAAAAAGCAAAAATAAAAAAAGTATGGAAACAGGAAAAGGTGAGTGAATATATGTATATGTGTTTTTATTATTTTTCTGTATTCAAAACTTAATTTCTTTTCAAACCATAAAACAAAATTTAGAATTAATATTGCATAAACATACTCTAAACCTGTTGTGATAAATACGCAATAAATTTATAATATATATATTGCAATGTTAAAAAATACGATTGTAAATATAAATATGCATTTTGCATACATGTATTAAGAATTTATATAAATTTTATTATAAATTTCAATACAAGATTTGACTTCAAAAAATTTTAACTTATGTTCGCGGTTCGCGATGGAGTTCGATTTGAGGTTCGTCTGCAAGTTCTGCTCGAGGCTCGGTTCGGGACTCGGTTCGCGGTTTGGCTCGATAATGTGGACCCTGCTTTACGGAGGGGAATCCGCGTCGGATTGTATTCCGCATACACACCGACTGAAATCGATATTCTTCGCAAGGTCGTGCCGCAACAAAACGAGCGGAACAATGCATCACGCGGCATACTCCCGCCGGGGTATCGGAATAGCAGGTAAAACTGCTCGCGATTTAATACACCTTACGATACTGTGTACGCGCGTATATTGTTGCTCCTCGGTGAATCCTCTTCCTCGGAATAAAGGACACTGAGCTTCCTTTCAATAATAATACGTTCGCGAAATATAGAAATAATATGAAAAATATGATATCGGTTTGCAATTAAGAATTCAATAGATTTCTTAATAAAAGAACCGTCGTTAAATAACAATAAGGCATAATAATCCCCTTAATAAATCGTAATCCGGCGAGAAGGTGACGAAAGGAGGGAGAGAAGACTGTAGCGAGGGGTAGTCGAAGTCAAGAATTGCAATCGTATGTAAGTATTATCATGTAAAGGAGGTTTCGAAGTAAACCGCAAATCGGTTGCCCAGATCAGCATCGATATTGCTTTGCAATAATTCATTAGCGTGATTGTTTGGGTGGATCAGAAGTACGGGAGAACCTCCTTCTTTCTGCGCTTATTCTCTTTTCTCTCCCTCTCTCTCTTTCTCTCTCTTCTCAGAAGAAAAGAGAAGTGGAGATGTCATAAGGATCTGTAGTTCACCCTGCCGTTCGAGATGAGATTCCGTGCATAATCCAATAAATTTCCCTCCTTCCAGCTTGATCCTTTTGTCTTCGTCTCGCTTCTTTCCCTCAAGAAGCGGTAACGCGCTCAGCATACTGTGCTGCACGAGCCACGAAGAGCTCATCGCCGCTTCGAGGTGGCAACAGTGTTGGCGGGAAAGTTATTCGACCGCTTGCCACTAAATCATTCCCCGCGGACTCCTGCTTTATTATCCTCCGTCTCGCTTCCACCTATGCTGGGCCCCATAGCGCTCTGGTTCTTTGTCTCTGTCTCTCTTTCTCTTTTTCCATCTCTCTCCTTCTTTCCTTCTCGCTTTCCGCACCTCTTCTAGTCCCTTCCTTTCATAGCCCTACCGTTAGTACGTCGAATAGATGCGTTACTTATCTTGGAAAAATCGCGATGGACGCGCGCACTCGCGCCGGGCACGCAGGGGATGTTGTTGCAAATTAGGGTTCTATTATGGTAATTCTCACACGCGCATTCTCGGGACAGCAGGTTTAAATCGACTGCGAGGCTCTTTGAGGATATTAATAACGCTAGTTTATTAACGCACGGCGCGTATTATGGGACGAGTCGTAATATTTTATAGCACTCGCATGTGTTCCCTATCGCCATACCTTTCCCCCTCCCCAGTGCACTATCGACTATATATACCAATAAAATACACGTGTTATACGCCGACTGATATAACGCGCGACGTATATACTTAAATATAACATAATGCGATCGCGCTATAATTTCGTTGCTCCTCATTATAACCCGTTCGTTTATGACGCTTATCAGATCGGAGCGGAGTAATGACAAATGCCGACGAATACGCGCGCTCGATTTATCGGCTTTCAGAAGCCTTCCTCTAGTCCGCCTATTGCGATCCGCTGGCGATCCGCCTACGTAGAAAGGAATATTTTCTCCGCGCGCGAACCGCCCCGACCTCCTTAATTGTAGCTCAAGATTGCAATCTTGTTCTTTCGACGCGCCCTCTCCCTACGATTCTCACGATTCTCGTACATTGTTTCCGAGTGGAATATTATTGCCTTGGCAGATAGCAAATTTAATTTCTTCCCGCGCGCATTCTTCTTACCTCATTCACCGAACCGTCATCAGACTTGCAATTAATTGTAAGAAAAAAGACATTGTGGAGAGAAAAACGTAACGCAACTCTGTGAGGAAAGGACGCGTGGTTCTGCCCATATTATTAATAGCGTATGATTAGAGAGATTTCACGTACAGTTCATTTTGCTTTCAACACTGTGCCAGAACGAATAATCGCTTAATTTACTACGAAATGCGGAACGTTTCTCCACTACCGCCACACCGCGAGATAAACGCAAGCGGTGATTCGCGTTAATCATTTTCCTCGTTATAGTTTCGCGAATGATCCGGTCGCCTTTATCGGCGACAAATCGACCGTGTGCGCGTCATAACGGAGTGATCGATCATCGCGGCTCGCCGATCACGATCCCGATCTCGCGATTCCACGTTCCCGTTCAACATGGGCGGAACGGTTCCCTCCCGAGTACTCGGATCACGGCTAGATGGCTGGCGCGATACCTCGAACGCGAGAAGAAACTTTAAACTGTCATTAAAGCAACTCGGTCTGGGTTAAGGGGTTCATTACCGGTCGGGATTCGCGTCTCAGTTTCTTCTCGCGTCGAGTTCCCCGCGAGACGACTACCACTATGCTCCGCGCAAATTACGTCTCGTGCCGGTATAAATTTACGAGTTCCTTTTCTCTTTCTCTCTCCCATCTGTCTCGTTTTCCTCCCCGACTTAATCCACGTTCGACCGATTGGCCGCGGCGGCAATTACCCGATCGGCCCGACGATCGTAATCTGTCGATCGGGTGGCATTATCGATACTCGCTGCCCTCAAAAATTGGAAATCGCTCGCCTCGTGTCCACAGGACGACTTGCGGTTGCGTTACGCGCCATATTTAAAACGCGTGATAAATCATCGAATGATACCTGTATTGCGCCGCCCGAAGGAAAGCGCTATTTAAGTTGCAATTCAGGGTGAGAAGTCTTATTGTTCGAGTATTCACGTTAAGACGAGAACCTGTTCATCAATGCGAAATGTATATCTATCATAAGTCAAATGTCCGACATAGACTTTAACATTTGATACATATGCATAAAACGAAAGAGAAAGAATCGCATAAAAAAACGACTACGTACTCTCTAAAAGTCGAAGAGTGATGCACTTTGAGTGATTATAGCCCCTGTGAGAAAGAATAAAATTGCGCTGCATAAGTTGGAGTGAAATCGCACTCCATTTGATTGAAAGGGCACTCTTTTCGCGTGCAGTAGATCAGTGTCCATAGGAATTATTTGTCACTCTACAATATTGGGTAGACACTCTGTTAAAGTACTTAATTTTTATCAGTCAATCTTTAGTGAATCGTGATTCACTACAGATTTAGAGTGAGATTGTATCACTCCGGTAGAGTGGCCGCTCTAAAAATTTGAGTGAAAAATTCACTCCTACCTTATGAGTGCCCACATTTAGTCAAATCAGAATGACAAACCTCTCTTTTGGAATAACTATCGCAATCACTCTAATATATTAGTAGCGAAATCATTCCATGAGATTTAGAAAATATGAATGTATAATTCAAACTTTACCAGTTTCTCTTACGATCATTTCTCTCACAAAAACCGAGGGGGGGGGATGATGATTGTCAAAATAAAGGACACTCCGACTGAGACGTATTCTCTGAGAGAACAATCTGCCAACGAGATGCGTTCGCGAGGCGGGGAAAAAATGGGGAGGCATTTTCGTTAACGACCGTATGGGAATCTCGTAACTTGTATTACATCGTGAGGTGGGGTAGGTGGCGATGAATCGTCGCATAAATCACACACGCTGGAAGCACAGAGGCGTCCATCACCGCCCCCACGTTCGTCCGTTTCGTTCGCTCGTCCGTCCGTCCGTCCGTTCGTCGCGGTAACGTCTTCGGGTCCTCCTCCGGGAGGGCAGGGAAAGGAAAGGTTCGCTCGCAAATTAGTCACTGGAGCCCAGATTACGAATGGACCACCTTCCCGGCAATCCGCGAGTATCCCGTTTCAGGAACGCCGGGCGAAATTAAACAAAGTGCTTCGCCCGGCGTTCCGCCTTCGTGGGTAGATTCCGCCTTCGGGGAGGCGCGACGACGTCGCGTCCTTCGTCATCGTGTCGTTTTGTTGCGGCGAGAAAAAAAAGAATCGCGGAACGAACAAATGGGATCGATAAATTTCAACGGGGAGTCATTCATCGCGGAAATGATCTTCGGCGAAGACTGTGAACGGGCTTGGACGCTTTCTCGTTACACATTCGATTTCGAATTTTTTTCTTATCGGATAGTTAATTATTAACGTTAAATTATTTCGCTTCTGAAAACTCCAAATCTTCTCGTAATCTATCTTTTTGACGATTTTACGAACCACTCATTATCGCGATTGTAAAACATATTTGTATTTTTACTATATCGTCTGAAGAATGAAGAATGTGATGAGTAAAGGACCGCGGTGAAGTGACGGATCTCCATTTCTATCGTCCTTCTAAAACAGAGTTATACGATGAATTGCAAATATACGTCGATTTGCAGAGATTTACACGCAAAAACGTACATAATACACCCAAAAAAAAATATTCTGCAGTTTAGCGGTTCCTGGTTCATGCTAGAGGATTTTCCTCTGAAATAGGGCCTTAAGAAGATGTTTTAAACTGTAGAGGAATATCCTCTAATCATGAGACTCTAGATTCAAGATTGTGCAATCCTCTTAATATTAGAGGACATTGATTTCCGATATTCACCCGAAATAAATAAAAAAAATTATTTATTTTGAAATTTTATTACTATTTTATAACTAAATTTGTTTCTTAAGATGTAGTCTATAATTATAAATATTTTTTGTATTGGAAAAAACACTTACCTTGGTGGGATCGAACTCGGGACCTCTGGATCGTGAGCCAACTGCCTTACATGGTAGACCACTTCTTAATTTGATGTAAGTGTTATATATTGTCTACATAACCAGCGGAAATATATAATTTTCCAAAAATCATCTTAATAAACAAATTCAGTTTAAAAAGAGTAATAAAATTTTGAATTGGATATAAGATATATGATATAATATTTCTTAATGTCGGGTGAATGTCAGAAACCAGTGCCGGCTTATTATGAAATTTTGTGTTCGTAAATATATTTATGAAAATAATATGTTTATAAAGTTAAAACGTTAAAACATTCTTATCAAATCCTTACAAGGGCCTCAATAGACAAAAATAAGAAAACGTTTCTTATGGCATCCCTAATAAATAATGATCGGGACCTTATCCGGTTAGCCCTAATAAATAAGTATTTATGAAGTTAAAACATCCTTATCAAATCCTTACAAGGACCTTATTAGATAAAAATAAGGAAACCTTTCTTATGGAATCCCTAATAAATAATGATAGGGACCTCATCAGGTTAAAATAAGGAAATCTTTCTTATGGCATCCCTAATATATAACTAATGATCGAGGACTTATGTTATATAAGGCCATTCTTAATAAAGACAACAGGCAATAGGAACAGGGAATAAAAATCAGAAATCAATGTATATAAATGCAGAATAAACAGTGACACAGGCAATAGACACAGGAGTTTCCGTCACGTTGGAAATTATGTGTCTATTGCCTGTTGCCAACAAATCATAACATTCGAATATTTTAGGTTGTAATTAACGATTTTTTATTATTTCCTGTTCCTATTGCCTGTTGCCTGGCATTGTGCAAGGGGCTGAACTTTCTACACGGGCGTCTCGTGTGGTAGCGTACGCATCGCGTAGCTAATAAGACGATCGTCTTTTAACTTTAACGCGCGCGCCGCAAATATCTAGCATATCCTCTTATTTTAAGAGGCTAATAGTAGAATTTACTGTAGAGGAATTTACTCTTGATTATAGCTTACGCATCCACTCATTTATAAAGTAATACGTATTACTTAAAGAAGGATATTCTTCATATAATGTTTTTTTGCTTAGAGGAACTGCTAAGAGGAATTCCCCACTTATCGGCAGAATATTTTTTTTTGGGTGTATGTCTCAATTCACGTTGGAATTTATTTTAATGTTAACCTTGAATTATCTTTGTTGCAGGTGGAAGCTACCGATTCCGATTGTGGTGTAAACGCGATGGTCAATTACACCCTGGCCGGCGGTCAGCTGGAGAACGAACAGTTCCTGGTGCGCAGTGATACGGGGGATATTTGCGTCCGATCGCCTCTGGACAGAGAAACAGTGCCTTATCTGGAACTGCCTGTCATTGCCACCGATAGAGGTTTGTGCCACTTTTCTTTTTATTGTCTGACTATTAAATTATATATCGATCTTGAAAAGAGACTTCATGATACGTATCTATAGTTTTAGCTGAATAGTCGCGACTTGATTAATTATTAGATACTGTTTCTGATATTTCTATCTTTATTATTGTTTACAATTTTCTGCTAATTTATACAATCGATAAGTATTAATGGTACCATGTTAGAATCGAAATATTTTCCTTAAAGGAACAGAATATCCTCAGATACTGATCTCTTCGTTATTATTTGACATTAAGTATCGCAGTCGTGAATTTTTTCGTCCTCGGAACTTGTACCTAAACGCTTAACAACCTCAGCCATTGCAATTCGAAAGCCGTTGCAATAATTCGGCTCGATCGCGAGATCTCTCACGCCATCGCGATCTCTCGTTCCGACGACATAAGAACAATGCTCGACTCCGCTATTCGCGTGCAAGCCTCATGTACACGCACGGGCGTCGATAAGAGTTAGCGAGACAAGCGGGAACAAGTGGAAACGGCCGCCCCGCGCGCCGGAGAGCGGAGACACGCGCGTAGAAACTCGCGGCTCGGAAAAACGCGTAGAGAAACAAAGCGACGCGACGCGGAGAGGAGGAAGCCGGGGCCCCGGCTATCGGCCCGACGAGATCTAGTAGCTCTGTAATAGGGTGTATGATTTATGTCGATGGTAGGCTCCGCGGCCATTTTCAACGCAGCGGCTCGCGGTCGCCTTATGAGAAAGGACAACGACTGAAGGTCCATTGATCCATGGGGCTACCGTGTGCCAACGGCCATTGCGCTTACCGTTCCCGCGCGGCGCGACGCGGCGGCGCTCCAGGAAAGAGGACGCAAAGACGGCGGAGTAGCATCCGAGAAGGAAAATGTTAACCGGTGGTTAAGAAATGAAAAAAAAAGGCCGAATAAGGGAACGTTGCTATTGTCGACGTTATGCTGTTTTGCAAACAGGGACGAATGCATTCTCGCTCGTAATTGTCGCTCGTTATCGATACGATTGTTCGCCGTGCAACGGCAACGTCGGCGACACTATCCGACAGACAATAGAATCGGCCGGATATGACAGGCACCGGCATACCAGGGAGCGACCGCGAGTACCGTCGCGAAGTGATTTATACCACCTGTTGACAAACGCGACGGTCATCCCAGTATGAAACCGAAAAGCAAGAGGGAACATTTCTGCGACGGACTTGTTCTGCCGCAAAACGGAAGTGTGACAGCTTCGCGATAATAAATAAATCTCATCTCCCCACGAGATATGTACAACACGCGCGCACAATCGTGCGCGCTTGAGCATATTATATCTTAGCCAGAGTCCGGCGCGCGGAAATGATTACAAATACCTTCCGGCGATTCGCACGTCCTCGCGCGTCCTAGCGCTTCCTCATGGCGCCGCGCCGCGCGCGCACACGCAGCCTGAGACTCATTAATCCTCCTCCTCGCCTCTTATTTTTACACCGGCGATTAATTCTTCTTATTGCCCCGCCAGTAATTCGCGCGGAGAAAATCATTTTGGCGCAACGGCAGTAAAGCGAATCGCGAGCCACCGTGAACCGCGCGGCGGGCCAGGTGCGCATGATTTATACCACCTGTTGACGGTCGCTACGCGGACGACGACAACGAGGAGAGTTGCCTCTCCCTGTCCCCTTGCCCTTGCGTTGCGGTAGTTTCGCCGCTGTCAGGAGGTGCAAAGAGGCGCCGTATATCGTCGTCGATGTTTATCGGCGGGAAACGCGGGATGATAAGCAAACCACAGCGGGATTTTATCGCGCTAATAGCGCTGGATAATGCCGTGCGCGTTCGCGGCGATAATTATTACCTGCGCGCTCAGGATCAAGGCGGAGATCCGCGAAAGGCGTCTGCTTATATACGGATTTTCTTGCGCGAGTTATTTTGCCCGAGAAGACCGCGAAGACGAGAGCGGATGCGGAATCGGTGCTAAACGCGAGACGCCGCACCGGCGCGGCCGGACTCCTCGCGGGTTGTTAGATGATAATCACTTGGAGCAGTTGATGGATAATATATTTAGAACGATTTTCTGTTAATTATCGGTGCTAACTAAAAGATTAAAATATTAATGAATTAAAATTTTCCTATGTCTTATTTATACGTAGCTCGGAGGACGAGTGTATGCTATTCCGATCAACTTAATCATGTTACTGTAAATTACAGGGGAAACAGATAGCATTGTAAACTCGCGATATGTAATCAAACCCTGGTGAAAAACGTCCTCTCAACGCATTTGCTGTGCGATGTGATTACCGATATCATCCGGCACGTACATCCGAACTGGATTCTCCACCAAGCGAGAGAACGGTCTTTAATGCGGCGGAATCTCCACTCGGCATCGATTACGTGCGAGCACGATATCTTAATGTAATTTCCACGTTAATCTCCCGAGCGAAGTCTTCCGTGTAGTCGCTGTCGTGCCGGGATTTTATCGTTCGTCTGCGATTTATTATCGTGTCGATGGAAAAAATAATCGAAGGTGCTGTACTTCCCTTTTCTCGAAATCTCGATATCGCGTTTCTGCCTCGCAGTTCTCCTGTACACAGGTACAGAAACGTAAATAAGGAAGGCACGTCCAAAGGGATGCACGTTCCGGAGCTACGCCGGGAGGTGACTTTATTGGCACCAGCGTCATAAATCTCCGTTCAACTCCCACCGACTGTCATTGTCCGCGCCGTTTTTGCGCTTATTTATATCACCCTCTCGACTCCCGCCGCGTTACTGCGCATAATCTCGGATACGTGTCACTCGCACGAGCTTTCAGCTCGCACTTTGTAACATATCCCGGAATTAACGTGCGCGCGCGTTTGTGCTCGGTATATTAATGGGACGTCTTATTTCGCCCGTAAGAAAAAAAAAGGAATGAATTAAGAGGCACGGTGGTGTCTTGCGCCAAGTACGCGCGCAGCGAGTTACGACTTTACGCGAAGGGCAAAATGTACGTGTACGATTTAAGGAAAAATCGTTTCTCGATCTTGGATTGTATGTGAAAAAAAGATATTAGAGATAGTAAAAGAAGAATCCTAATTAACCGCGCGTTGTGAAACTCATTCCTCGCCCGGACGTAATTTGGCTGTGTAAGGTTGAGCACCGCCGCACCTACCGGCCGCATAAATCTCTCCTGCCCCCCCCCCCCTCGTATCCCCCGCCGCACGAATCCCGAAAAGAACTCATCCCGACGATCGACCGCGTGAAATTAAAAGGGCCGGACTGCAGCGGGCACGAAAATATCAGACAACGTGCATTAAAATGCCGTTGAACTATCCCCAGGAAGTCGGTATATCCGTTCGTACCTGGGTGCGTTCCTCGTCTTCCGTATCGAACGCGAAAGCGCGTAATCAATTTTTTTGCCTCCTCAAGAAAGAAGAGAGAGAGAGAGAGAGAGAGAGAGAAAAAACGCTATAAGTGCGTTATTTGATCTGTGGGGAGCGCCTGTGTCCAACAATTAAGAATTGACCGTTGTTAGGGACACGCAATAAACTTTTTCGATAAGTTTCACGAATTGACCGTGTCCGCGTTCTGAAGATCGATGCTTTTTCGATGCTTTGATGTTTCACGAACGAATCAGAGACTTCGTTTCTCCACGTACCGGAGGAGGGAACCGGGGATCGAGGGACGGGTTCTTGACGCATGACTCCAATGACACTCGCACCTATAAATCTCCTCCGCGCTCGGAGAGAGCTCCGCGCGGCCGAGTCCATACATTACTATGAATTACGGTTGTAAACCGTTTAAACATCGGATTACCCGTTTTACATACTGTCTTTGATATTAACACTTGCGTCGCGTATCGCCTAAATCCGAGGCGGCGACCAGCAACTCGTGGTATCCCGTCGTGATTTCTCGCTAGCGTTGCGTCGTGAAAATGCGTATATTATAGAGAGATAGAATTTGCAGATAATCTCCGATTAATTTCAACGACGATATGGTTTAGAAATATAGTTGCGGCAGACCACTGACGGGAGGTAGAGGACTCTTGCAAGTTTATAATCCTTGAGTTCTACATCGTGGGACAACTACACTTGTATAGTATTGAACGATCGCGTTCATCACTGCCCATATAGAAGAGCGAATTGCGGAAGTACGGGGATAGTGGTGTAATCGCCTCTCCCACAATGCAGTAGTCATTATCGCGCGTAGCTTACGGGTCAATCGATGTATCAGCGGAGCAATTACCCCACGGGGGCCCGCGATGCTCCTAAAAGAGCGCGGTCATTTGAGAGGACTCCATAAGCTTCTCACGTCTGAAATATTACCATGAGCGGCGCATTACCCTGCGCGCGCGCGCGCGGAGGGGTTAAGAGAGGAGCTCACGTCGACGCACACGTGCTCACGTGTGTCCGAATAAAACGACGGGAGCGGGGCGGGAGAGATACTGACCGAGGGAAAGGATGCTGAAAGAAGAACGGAAGGAGAGCGAGATGGGACGAGATGAAAACCCGATGAACGGAGAGAGCGAGAAAAGGTTCTCCGGCGGCTGATTGGGTCCGAGAAAAGGCCGCGGGAACGGGACGCTCGTGATTTATGCAGACCGGCTTCGGGCGCGTCGCCGTAGATTCGTTCTCTACGCCGGCTAATACCCCGACATTATTTGGCTCGATAAGAGGATTTCGGCCGGGAATGAAATAAACATAATGTGCTCTCTCTTGGTCGCGCACCTCTCGCCTCCGCGCGCGCATATTGTGGACCATTCGCGGCCCTCCAGCGAGTACTCGAGTTCAGCGCTGCTCAACTCCGCTTGATTCCGATAAAATTAATTACAGATTATAAATCAGTATTGTAAAATCGGCTAAAACGTGACAGTTGAAAATTCAACATTCTTTCATTTTTATGAGAAATTCGATGACTTTCTTGCTACGCGCGTTCGATATCTTATCTTTTTTTATAACCATTAGTTGTGTAACTATATCCATAACGCATATATATATCTAATAATACGCTGTATTCTATTTGCAGGGGGATTGAGTACGATAGCGATCGTGCGCATCCAGGTGACGGACGTGAACGACAACCGGCCGATTTTCAAGCCGCAGCAGTACAACGTGACCCTGCGCAGCGACGGCGTGATGTACAATCCGATCTTGAAGGTGGTGGCGACCGATCTCGACGCCGGCTTCTTCGGTCAGGTCGCCTATCGCATCACCAGCGGCAACGAGGGCGGGGTCTTCGAAATCAATCGCGATACCGGCGAGATGAGGGTGTCACGGTCAAATCTGCTGTCGCGCTCACCGTTGTATCAAATCAACGTCACGGCGACGGACGCGGCCGGCCTGAGGAGCATCGTCGACGCCGAGGTCAAGATCACCGTCTCCTCCGCGGGGCACAGAATCGCCACTTGCGAGAAACCGTGCTACACCGTCACGGTCAAGGAGAATATCTCGCAAAACACCGCTATCGACGGCATGAAGAACACCGCGACAGCGTCATCTTCGTCAACGGGTGAGTCGATTCACCTTTGTACTAACATAAGCCTTTTCATTGGCCGGCCGTTGTGTCTTGCATCATCACTCATGTAACATCGAACACGAGAATACTGTGACTGACGGCGAATAACGGATTTTACACCGCGAAAATTTTATATTTATACATATATGAGTGATTTACAATATTTACATGTATATCGGCATTATCTTGATAATTTTCACGCGTTATATTCGTATATATACCTTGTATATATTTTCATTGTGTTTTACTTGCGTTGCATTTGCATTACTTGTACTTGGAAAACTTTGAAGCTATTTTCGCTCAATGTTGCAATGGCGCAGAGTCATTTGCGACGTTTGCGTAAGGGCACTCGTATGCCTGGAGTTAATCTGTCGGGTCTTTTAGAACGAAGGGGTATACGATTCTCGAACCGGCGAATGCCTCGGAAACGTATTCCACGCGCGGCGTTACCGCGTTAGCATAGTCGCGTCACGAGTAAAACGCCGAGGACTCCGCGAACGCCTACGTGTGTGCATACGTGCACGTGGACGGTACATTCAGGCACGATGCGCACGGACCTAAAAGCCGAAGCACATCACGAATGAAGATACCCATTCCGCCTTCCCTTCTCTTTAATACGAGATCGAGCGAAGCGGGTAGTGACGCACCGAACGCCGCGATATATTTTCGCACGCTACTTAGGAGTATTCGCGTTTTACGCAGCGCCGAAAATACGACGGCAATGTAGGTCGAAGGAAAAAATTCCGCAGGATGAAATGAATTTAGTGAAGGATAGGGGCTCTCAGCGGAGAAGAAGGAATTTCGAATTTGAGCGAACAGGTGGCCGTCGAAAGAAGGAGAGAAATGGGATTCGCTCAGCAGGGGGAGGCTGAGATCGTGGACGACGATGAGATGGAGAAGGAGGAGCAGGGAGAGGAGGAGAAAGAGAGACGAAGGAGGATTGAGCACCGGTAAGGTCGCGGACGGGTGGGTGGATTGCTCCATGCCGATACACCGAGACACGGGGTGGAGAGGAGGGCGGCCGATCGAGGGGCGGGGAGGGGGAGGGGGAGACAGAGAGCAAAAGAGAGGAGAAGTACGTATCCGTGTTTCCACACTGGTGGTACATCCGATGCAAGATACGGCGCGTCACGACCCGCGCGCTCGCCGCGCCGTATACGCCGATGCGCCGTGTAAACTGTCCCGCACGGTATCGAGCGGCACGGCGCGGTACGTTATACGCCCGGGAACGCCGAATAGTTTACACGGTGGTGCCTTACCGGTGGTCGTATTGTTCGCCCCGGCGTTGCCCGTATATGCAGCCTGTTGCATATCAATGCGCGAAGGCTGTATTTCCCTCGCCAAGCGACGACGTGGATCTCTCTCCCTCTTCTTCCTTTTTTTCCCTCTCTCATCTTCTATTCCTCTTCGTCATTCTTTCTTCTCGGGGAGTTAAAAAGCATCCTGACCCTGTGCGACGTGCGGTTTCGACTCGTGGTCTTGGTACCTCGTATCACTCGTACCTTGATTCCCCGTCTCATATCTTCCTCTTCCGTAGGTCTCCCTCGTAGGAACGTTTAATCGCGATCAGGAGACGCACTTCTCGAATTTCTCATATTCGTGTCAATAAATTGTGACGAGTTCTGTGATGCGAGATGTATTTCTAACGCATTCCTTAATTCAGAATTATCTTTCTTCATTTTCGTAATTTTTATTTTAAGAAGTCAAATGTAGCCCGCGCAACTTTCTTATACACACACAGGACATTCTTATATACTTCCGTTCCGCGCAATGTCGGTTTAAAAGTCTGTACCCTTTAAGACTCGAGCATAAAATGTAAAACATACAACGAAACGCGCGCGCGCGGCGAGATACCTTATACATGACACGAAACAACTGAGCACCGTCTCAGACACCGCGCATTCAAAGTTGTTCTTCCGGCATCGGCGCGATCGGCCGGTCGCTCGATCGGACGGTCGGTTTCAGAACCCGACTTCCAATCGGCCACGCGTCCGGCCGCCGTATAGAACCAGTTCGCGCAGAAGAACGCGACCTGACACTCAGGCCCGCAATATTTGACACACGGCAGCCAATCAGATTATCAGATTAAAGTTGAACGGGGCCCGGCGATCGTCGGCACAGGTGCGGTTTGTTTCGGCTGTACCGGAGAGAGAGAGAAAGAGGAATCTCGCGAGCGCGCATTGACGTGCACCGGCGATTCGCGCTACCATTTTGCGACACCTGTTTTACTAAGCCGGACCGGGTCCGGACAAAGCGGGACAAATGACAAACTCCGCGCTTTGAGTTTAGATTTCGATTAGATCAATGCTGTTGACCGATCGGATTTTAGCAAATATATAGCAAACAAAGTGAGATTTTCGTGTTACAGAACGTTTTAGTTTTAGATATTATCATTATATGCTGATGTCGATATGTAAATTATATTCGAGCTGTTGATCAATCTCGTTGATAAACGTAAGAATTATCATCCAGTCAAAGTTTCCGACTCGTGAATGGACTCGTTGCCCATTAACCGAATTAACTTTAATTAGTTCGTTTCATTCGGCGCGACGCGACACTTGCCGAGAGATGCCCAATCAGATTAGCAAATCTAGTCCACCGTTGATGTAAATCGAGTATCCAGAGACAGAGACCGGCTACCACTTTACGATCACCTGTTCCGGTCAAGCAGACTTTGCGCGCAAACGTTCCTAGCGAATTCCGAAAAAACCATGATCGTTAAAGGGGTGATGGCCGACAAAAGAGCGATCGTTTCGCCGATGCTTTGGAACTGTTAAAATCAACGTAGACGAACTCCTTATTGGGAAGCAGTCGTTCGTTTCGTGGACGGCCGGCTGTCCCGATCCTTCCATAAAACCTGGCGACAAAGTGAGGAACGCGCTTCATTTTACGGTCGAGTTTATGGCACTTGAGGGGGGGACGAAGGGGAGAATCAACCCGCCGTAATCGCGTCGAGTAGAGAAGACCGGTCTTATCTTATCTGCGAAATGAACGGCCGCTCTTAGCCTCGCGTCGAGACCGATCTTCTGCTAAGGGAAGAGGGGAGGGTGTCTAGAAATCGTGATGACGCGGATTCGAAGGTTGAAAAGTTGGAAACGGACTCGTGACACGAAATTGGCGGCGATCGAGCGAAATTACCGGTTACTGGAAACGCTTGACTTCGTTTCGCTAGGAATCTTGTGGCACACACAGAAGGTCTCGCGACGCGAGAATACAAACGGTGATTGACACGTAGGTCGCCGGTAGAAAGTACGGGACCAGTGACATTGAGACGGGTCACGTTATGAAATCGGCGCACGACGAGCCAGTCAATTGGTACACTCGCCCGAGGTAGTTTGCTCTCTCTCGCCGGGGCTTCCCGCGAAAGCTCGGCGCAAACAACACAAAACAAGACGGCCGTTGTTGAACATCAGTTTTGCAACACGCGGAAGAGAGGCGATAACGACGGTAACAAGCGTCTTCGTTAGAAGGCCAAGGCGCAATCGGCAACCGCTCATCAGAAAGTCGCGCCGTTCTCCATCTCTCTTTCTCTCGCGAATTTCCTTGCCGCGCTCGATTATGCACCTCGTTGGTGATCCGCGAAAAGAGTCTCGGCAAGTGACGTCGAGCGTGTTATGTGCGCGCGCATTCGCATATAGTTAGATTCCCATAGTTAGCGCGGTGTAACAAGATAATATCTTTTGTCAGTCAAACATTATTTTGCAGTATTATTTCGCTCATATTCATCGCAAGTTTTCTTGAGAAAGGTTGGAAATATGTAAAATAAAAATATAAATAAAACTTTCGCGCATCATTTACCGCGCTTGGTTCTTATTATAGTTAGCCCGTTTTCTATATTCGTGCGGTTTTTTTTAGTATATACTTATTTAATTAAAGAGCGATAATTAGAGCGAGTAACGCAGAGTGAATTTCGAGGTGTTAATCTCACCTCGACACTCTTGGATCGAGTATTTCGTACTTTTCGGAACCTGGCATTCTCGTCGAAAGAATGCGCGCTTCTCGAGTGCCGGTCTTGGGAAGACGCGAGAGAGCCGAACCAAGGAGATCGGAACGGAGCGGAGCGAAAGAGAAGGATGTGAACGCGAAAGAAGGAAGAGACGGAAAGAGGAGGAGAAGGTGGACCGTCGTCGTCGCCGAGGTCGCATAAATCGTCGTGAGTCGGATTCCGGGCAGCCGAACGCAAGCCGCCATTGTCCGAGACTTTTTGCCCCTTTTTCCCTACCAAGAGGGGGGGCTGCCGCTGCGGAGCTCTGCACTCTTTGCATATGCTTTAAATATCGCCGCTCCGCGCGTTCGCTTTGAGGGCTCCCAGTACCACTCTCCTCTCCTTTCCTCTCTTGTGCGCGAAGAAAAGACAGCGCGCGCGCGGGACGTCCGAGGGGCGCAGGGGGGGTGAGAGTAGGAGGAATGAAAGATGAGGAACGTCGAGAGAGGAACCCGAAGTTCGCTGACTGTCGGACTCCTCTTACCGCAATTGGAGGATTGCATTAGATGCATCGCGCGGCATCTGCGATTTGTATCCCACGCTGCTTCGAGAGCGTCAGCGTGATCTCGTATCGAGGCGACATAAAATAAGTAGTTTCTCGAATTTACGACGGGACGTAGCCAAGCCTTCTTCTTATCAGTCCTATAGCGTCGTTTCGTTCGCAAATTTAACTGTCCGAATTTCCTCTAGGTAATGATGCAAAAAGTTAATAAAAAAAAGTAAGGTCGAGAGACGAGAGAGAATCGACATTTTGGAAACTACTCTAACCAAACAACTTCTAATCTTATCCGCGCGACACATCGTCCGTCTTTAACGAATTTAACGATGACACCATAAAGATCAACGCCGCGGGGCGCTGGCAAGTCGTTTAAGACTGGTCATAAAGATATATCCGGATATAACGCGTGAAACGATCTGGCTGTAATGTCCCGGAATAGGGTATAATCCGCCACTCTCGTCGATGATCAAATCGTAAGAAATGCTCCGTCCGAGTTAATGATGCGATATT